TCTGAGGTTCTTTTCCCAGTCACGATGGCCGTGAATAGTGAAGGTTCGGGTCCTGACACCTGACACTGAGTCACGACGAATGTTTCGTTGGGTGTTACTAAGTGGAGGAAAAATAACCCAAGTTTCAAGCAAGTCCACTTCCATAGCTGCTAGTCTGTCGGGGTCAAACCAACAATAGGTTGGAGCTCGTATCTCAGTATCATTCCACTAGAACCGTCTTCCACATCAAACTAGTCAGTCTGAGCCGAGCTTGGGCGCCCTGAAGAATCCTCTAAACTCCCGTGGTGCCTACCACTGCGTGTGGTTGAAGCATTGGCTGATGTGCGGGACAAACGTACAACCGACAGCAACGGCATGGCAGTCCATGTCAGTGTCATAGCAGTGGAAGGTGATGGCAAGCGCACCTCGGTCAGCAGGCGTTCGCGGCTTCCTTTGAGACTTACAAGCGGCCAATCTATTGCAGGCCAAGCTCAGTTCTGGACATGTTTGACTGAAACAAGCACACTTCTTCACAAATTGAGCTCTTTTCCTTTTTTGGAGGGGACTCAAACATACAGGCGGTAGGTAACCCAGCACGTTTGTCTGGGTCAACTCGGCCTCCTTTTCATCCGGGCGCCCGGGCGACTGCCAATCGGCCGGCCGTCTAACAAGGCTTTCGCCAAGCCACCGGCCACTTGCCAGCGCTTCCTGAATGTGTTTTGGGATCGGAGGATCCCAGGCAGGATTTGGATGGAGTTACCAAACTATAGCAGCTAGCTTGTTCAAATGGTAGAGTGATAATATGATTCTTCAGATATGTTTCATGATGTTTGACATCATTTTGGCTGGAGTTGATGATGCACACACCACGAACATGAGGTTTTCAGGACGTACATCTTGGGTCAGACTGGACCTGGGTGCGGAAAGACTAGAAGATCATGGGATCCGGGGATCATGGATCCGCATGCCAAAATGAACATGAAAACAAACCCAAAAGAACACAAATATATGTTGGGCCCAGGGCCCAGAGGATGATGAAGGTTAGGTTGGGAAATGTTGGGATATACCTCATGGGATATACCTGCACCTGACTTCTATCCCAGAAAATGAGACATGACCGCTATCAAAACAGGTAGATTTGGTACCCCTGTTTTTGGTACGCCCCAGGTCGACTCCAGGTATATGGTAGGTAGCTGGCAAAGGACCCCCACTGCCTATCGTGAAAGCATCTGTTATGGCGAACACATCAGGGATCTTCCTGCTAAAACACATCAGACGTGTGTGCCACGTCTGAATATATTATATTTATATCTGAATATCGCTAACAGATTCCCGCACCCTGCGAACAACCCCGGCGGGTTCCCTCGGCAGAACATTACAACCCAACAGTTTCCCGTTATCACTCCGGCGAACAGTTCGCGTCAGCAACTTTTTTGAAGGTATACCCAAACGCAACCATGGACCCTCTTATGAAGGGGTTGGACCCTCATATATGAAGGGGTCTGGGGATTCTCACCAATCCGGTTTTGAGGGACCGGACGTCGGTCGACCCTAAAGTCATCGCGTCTGGGTATTTCACAGCTCGGCATCGGCTCCGCATCGGCACGCTGCAGCTCCGCCTCCGGTGTTCCAGAGTGTCGCCCTTGGTGGCCTGGTGCCAAGCCTCAGCGCGAGCGTCTCAGCTGCGGTGCGTCGATCGTCTTCAGTCTCGGGGCGGTGCATCTGGTGTGGACAGAGAGGTACAAAGAGAGAGAGTTCTGTCTATAGGATCTTTCTATAGGTCCCAGAGAAACACTTGGAATTCCAGGCTCACAGACTCGGACTTTAAAAATCCAAGTAATTACCTTCTCAGAGTGAGAAGGTAATGATTACATTTTTTTTGGGAGACTAAGTCTGCAACAATCAAGCATTCTGCCACAATCCTTTGAAACAATGCACTCACAACACAACAATGGGGTTCCTGCTGCCCAAGCAAACATTGGTTCATGGGTGAATACGGCACTATGAGGGCATTCCCTATATGGTCGTGGCTCAAAGCAACCGGAGTCTGTTGTACCCTGGTGGGACTTCCCAGGTAGTTCATGACATGGACAAATCGTTCGGTCCGACTGCCATGATCCACTGCCATAGGCCATGGCCATAGATAACCAGTTTGGCCATTGCTTGCCACGCGAGCGGAGGGCCGCCTAGGTCCTCCTTGCCGCGCCCCTCCGCCTGCCATAGGGCCCCCCACCGAGTCTCTTATCACAGCCCGGACCTGTGGAGGATGTGGTGGAGCCGGGTAACAGGCGTAATGATCTGAAAGAGAACAGCATATCCTCATTTTTATGTGTCCATGCGCACCCTCCAACGCACCCGACCAAAGCGATCGATCTCTGCATTCCTATGCAGAATCCGCTTTGATCCAAACACGGCAGTCCCTCGGAAAAGCATGTCCCACAAGTACCGGCAGCCTAGGCCTGGTCCATCAACGCGGACTCCCAACAACGTGGTCGTTCGTCGGGAAAATCCGTGGGAACATCTGTGGGAACTCGTTTCGGCGTAGACTCGTTGCTCATCCGTTGGTGGTCCGTGGTGGTCTGTTGTAAGTCGTACCTTCTGAGAAGCTCTTTGGGCTGGGTCCAAGTAGCTTCTGAGGAGGTACTTGGAGCCCTAGGGTTTCACTTACAACCCTAGGTAGGCTTCCCTGGTAGTCGCTGTGGTGGAAGAGTTGCTTCAACTGCTTTCAACAAACAGACTTGGTAATTGGTACCTCAAATACTGAGCCACAAGTAGCGAGTCTCGAAATATGCTGTCGAACCTGGGCTCATGTTCCATCACCGAAAAGGAGATTGTAAGGAGATACCTGGACCATCCTGGGCCGTGTGGCTTCGTACCTGGACCATTCCAGGCTTCCGGGCTGAATTGTACCAAATAGGAATGTCCTGACCAGCGTCGCTGAAGACAGCTTCGGCTGTCATTTGGATGTCTTTCTGATGGTATACCCGATATATACCACCACCATCACCACCGTCACCACCAGTCACCACCTCTAGACCTTGGACCTTGAGATAGACTATGATACACTGTTTGGGGTCTGTTGCCGGGGATAATTTGAAGATGATGATTGTGTTGCCACCAATAGTTTTGGATATTCTTGGATGGTTGGAAGTCTTCTGAGTAATGTATCATTGCAAAATGATCAAGAGCCATCATGTTACGAAGATTTTCGGCTTTTGTGCGATCAAAACGCCGCCGCACCACAGACGCTAGCAGCTTGGACCTTATCCGTGTGCCATCACCGATGGAGTGTCGAGGGCCAAGCTTTGACCGAGTGGAGTCAACAGGTCATCTTTCTTGCCATTCGTGTCTTCCGACTCAAGTCCGGGGAATCCAAGACCAAGGTCGGGGTCTGGGAAGCGAGCAAGGCCATGGTGAACGCGTGTGGTGCACGTGTGGTGTCCTTGACCGAACTCTCCATCCGAGTGAAAGCACGGTGGAGGACAGGCGACCGCGGCCGCCGGACCGGTGGCCACGGAACCGTTTCGGTTTTGAAGGCGTCCGTTTTACAGCGCTGACTGCGTGACGATGTGTGACCAAAAGTAAGGGTGAACATTTACGGTTGAAGGTATGGTGTCCAAGTCTTGTGAAGTTGTTCTTCCAGGATTTAACAATCGGTAAACCTGTAGTACGTAGGCTCACCGGCAGCCATGGATGCCTTAAATGGAAAGCAATGACCCAGGGATTGGGGTGGCCCGGCAGGCGCTGGGAGTGAATTCGCAAAAGGAAAGCCATGGAAAGCAGCTTCCGTTTTGAATTTCTTGCCTTTATCAAACCATTCATGTTGTTTTTCTATGAACATGTATTGTTATTTGTGTTTGATCGTGTTCTTTGTTTAGCAACCTTCCTTCTCCTCTTTTGTGTTTTTTGTCAATCAACCCTTCCTCTCAGAAAATCTGAGAAACATACGTCTGTTGTTAACGTCTGTTTTTTTTCTTGGTCGAGGCTCCGTCTGTTCAAACAATGATATGTTCTTGTTACTTATGCCGCACCATGTTTCTCTTGAGTATGAGTAAACGAAGCCTTCTTTTTGGGAAACATCTTGCCTCCTCCGGTTTCCATCTCTCATCTTGGTAAAATCCTTCTTGTTGCCAAAACTTGTTTTCTACTTTAACATAAACTTCTTTTCGTTTAAACCATACCCCTTGTTTAGCAACCTTGGCTCTCCTCGTTTGCGTTCATCAATCAATCCCGCCTCTCAGATTTGTCTTCCGTGTTTAGCCCTTCGTCTTTGTATCAAACCCTCCTCTTAAAGCGTTCTCTCTTGACTTATGTCGTTTCTCTTGAGAATATAGCCTTCTTGTTCAGGAAGTGCTCTTTCTTATCTTTTCTGAACAACCCGAAGCCAATATACAAATTGCATGTGTCTCTCACATAAAGGTTTAAAGGACTTGCAGTTTCCAACAAAGAGAGAATTTCAAGCTTCGAACAACACAGCGCAAAAGTCGACGAGGCGATCGAAACGTAATGGTGATCGACAGCTCAACAATGAAACCCCAAAGAACTACAAACAAACACAAACAAACCTCTAAAGTTGTCCCTGTCATGTCCTCCATGGCACAATTGTAAGGCGTGCAGCATATGCCATATGCCACTTCTGAGCAACTTGCTCCGCATGTAGAAGTTAAAGACATCGGATCACATAATCTAAGACAAGAACGTCACCGTCCCCTCCCCACCCCCCACAAAAGCAAAGCAGCCAAAATTGTAAATCATGTCCCCTGCGACTGATGCGATTGAGCCCAAGGCTGCATTTGAAGGTGTTGTTGTTTCACTCACCCAGGCTGCCAGAGCTCGGGTCCGGCCCAGACTTCCCACAACAGCTCCACGGCTCACAAGCTGCGCCCGATTCCTGTTCGCCCTCCACCGCGAAGCTCAGGTTCCCGCCGTACATCAGAATCTCAGCCACCCGGTTCGTGCGGCGGTCCGGTGGGCTTAGGAAACCGAGTAGGGGCAGTGGGCTTAGGAACCGCGCGCGAAAAGCTGCGCTCGCTGTGTTGGAAGACCGGAGTGACCGGATTTAATGGATCTGAATGGATGCTCTATATATATATATATATGATGCGATTAGAGGTCGTAGATCATGATTAAATTGAGAAGATCATCTTTTTTTTTTTGAAGATGGTCATTCTCCATGCCCCGTCCGTCACATCCACCGAAGACGGTCAAACCGACGGCACATCGAACGGGGATTGGAACATCGAAGGGTGGAACGGCCGTGGGTCATGGCACCGGCGTGGTGACCTAGGTGGCAAATGGTATGTAGAAGGCCTGGAGAGAGACCCACATAAAAACATGTAAAACATAATGCCCACATAAAAACCTGAAAACAAACTGGGTTGTACTGGTAGAGGATATGTGTTTTCGAAAAGTCTATGTTCAGGTTCCCTGTTAATCTTCCTGGGTGTAGGCCAGGAGGCCAGCCTCATTGGAGTGTTTGGGATTGGAACTATTGCGTCGAACATGGTGTAGGGTGTTGATCATTGAAGCTTCCCAAAAAGGGTCGAGAGGTGCTACATTGTCGCGCTATACGATTTGTTCACAAAACCCAGACGCTCCATGTATGCCATATATATACATACATTGACCCCTCAAACCACCCCATACCATACATGGAGCGTCTGGCATGTAAGATTGGCACATCGACAGAGACATGCAGAAAGACTCCAAACATCTCTCCGAGTCATGGCGCCAGCTTTGCGAGCGCCTTTCCTATCTCAGTGACCAGAAGATATGGGAAAATTAAGCTGCCTGAACAAAAACGGAGCATGATTCCTGGTGATTACATGAACAATGGGACTACATCCGAGGATTTTTCACTCAGACATGTTTGGGATTTGAAACGGCCCAGACATGTTCTTGGTTATATTTTTCCCCGTGGGTAACTCCCCTTCTGGGGAATATGTTGCTTTTATTTTCCAGGTTCCTTAAGCAAATCCAAGCGTTTGCTTACTCTGTGCAAACGGAACTTGCGTGCGCTACTCTTGGGTGCGCTACTCGTGGGTGCGCTACTCTTGGGTTTGCTACTCTGTGCAAACGGGTCAACAAAGGACCTAACCAGACATGGTCAACCGGACCCTGCCCGTTTCCTTTGTTTTTTGGGGGCGCTCCCGGTGCCTATGACCGACGTGCGCAGTGCGCGGTCCCGAAAGGGTAGCGAGCCGCAGATGGCAGGGAGCCAAGGAATTGTTGGAAGAGGTCCAGCCGAGCCTTTCTTACCAAGAGTAGGAAATCCCCTACCCTAGGGCTGAAATAAGTACCTCCTCAGAAAGTATTTGGATTCTTCAAGCCCACCCCAGTCTCATCTTCTCAGAAGGCCTTAGGGATACTATGAAGAAGACACGTTCTCACGGTGCGTGCTGCACCGCTGCACTGCTGCAGCTAGAGCTTTCCACATGGCAGACCATTGCATGTAATGCGAAGACCGGATTTTATTAACCGCCCCCCCACGTGGAAGGTCTAGAAGGTCTAGAAGGTCTGAGGTTTATTCATCCTATCTTCGCACGTACCGATGTTTTTTTCTGGGTCCTTCAACCTTAACGCGATCGTTCATTCAGTTCAGACGCCCCGTCTTCTGCGGAACGGTCCAGGTCCTCTGTTTTCACCCCCCCAGTTCACCCCTCCGGTCAACTCCGAGGTCCTAGCGGTGAACTGACCATCGGCGAGGTCAAAGTGGCTGTCGCCGGTCTGCACCACCACATCCTCGGACGGAGCGGACGGACCGGACGTTCGATCCGTCGGTAACGAAAAAAGACCGGTCAGCACGGGTCAAAGCACGGGTCCAGGTCACCAGCAGCACCCACCAATGAAACAGAGGATAGTGTTGGACCAGCCTCTGTTTCACAAATCATGGGAAAGGCTCCTTCACTTCCCCAAAGGTCAGGGTTCCTGGGCACCCCAAATCCAAGCACCATTGTCACCGGAGTCCATGTTCAATCCCAATCTTCCAGCGGAAAAGAACACAACACAAACGCCCCTTGTTGCGGGCCACCAATACCTTTCAAGATCTGTCAACTATGGCCACCAAGCTAGAGGTCACTAGATTCCACTAGATTCCACTGGATTCCATCCTGAGTCTCCTGCTTCTATATATCTATTAAGATATGTCTTTGTAGATGTATCGATTCAAAACATATGTTGTTTGTTTCAACCTGCACATCATGACACGTCACGTGATCGTAATCGTGCACGTCTTCGTCCAAACCAAGACGTCTGACCGCCCACGCGCTTGGCATCCCGGACATAGGCCTTTCGAAGGTCCCACCACGCCAAGGCCCGCGGCGCCCGGCGAGCACCAAAGATGCCAATCTTGAAGTCCTCATCGCTAGGATTTTTAGAGAAAACACATGGTTTTTGTGTTTTTTTTGGTGTGCGTAAAGGAAAACCTAAACAAACGGGTCTGTGGAAAGCACGGTATACCCATAAGTTCTTCGGATGTCCCTTTTTGTGTTTTGTTTAATGGTTTGCGTGCTTTGTCTTCACGTGCCATGGGCCTTTACATCTAGTCTGACTGTTGAGGAAGAACAGCTCGGTCAATGATTCAAAATTCTGGACCATGAGCAGTTCGGAATGTCCAGGAGGAATTTCAAGAAACCAAAGCGACTGGTACACCGAACAAAGGACTGGTACACCGAACTGGGGTGACAACGGCAGTCAGTTGCAACTCAATGAAATGACTCACTGGGGTCGACTGGTTTCAACCCTCAAAACCTAGTCATTGGGATTTTGATCATGTAAAGTTGTTGGAATCCAACAAAACAACTATACCACCAACCAGCTAACTTCAATTGGATGGGATTATATACAAACAAGATGTCAAGATCTCCCAAAACAACGGATGGCACGTCTCAACGTTGGTTGGCGAAATGTTCTTGCCTTTTTCCAAACAGAACCCTTCAATACCTTCACTAATTAATCCTTGATTTCAGGGAGTGTATCTCTCAAATTCAGGGAGAACACCTGAACCCAAGAGTCGAACCCATCCCCCCCCAAAAAAAAAAGCAAAAAAAAAAAACATGATCCAAAACACCGGTCCCTCGGATGTCACGGAAAAAACAAAAAAAACAAGTGTGTCAGGTGACGTCCATCCGGTCCGCACGGAAAAACAGCAAGCGTCAGGCGTCTGACCAGTTCCGCCTTCCCGCCGCCAGAATCCGCTCCCTCGCCTCTTCGGAGGCCCAGTGCATCAAAGCGGTCCCCGAGACGCACTGAAAGACCAGCCTCCGCACGGAAGGTCGGACGCGACGGACGCGTCAGACGGTGCGCAGCCGGAGGGTCCCTGGTGGGTTGTCTCTGCAGTTTTTCCACTTCATCAGTGGATCTCAGTTATACAAGTCCATTTTCAGTAGTAGGACAATCACTCATTGGGACCATCCTACTTCCACAGCTACAATGGACACTGACTGGACAACTATCTGTCATCTGTGATCATCTGTACAGTTGCAGCTTCAGTATGCTTATCTGTACCAGTCTGCGTCTCTTCTGAAAAAAAAGGATACGTAAACGTCTACCAGCACCTTCATGTCGGGGTCACCAATGGAAGCACGTACACTACTAAGGGACCTTCAGACAGGACACCCATTGGATGGTCCAGGTATGTCTATGTCGGCAAAAATACCACGGACGTCCCAAACCACCTGAGCGGTGTTTCGAGAGACCCTCCTTAGCGGTTTCAGGATGCGGTGATGGGCCGGAAGACTCAATAGTGATGAAGTCGAAGTGTGTCGATTGCAAGCTCCACCCAGCCCTGTGGAGATTGTCTTGCACCCCATGCGAGAGATGTGAATTCATGAATCGGGAAGGCTCGCACTTCCTGGGATATGATATACACGGAGGGGGGGCGCTCGCTTTTACCACCGGACAGGAATATTGGCCCACTCATTCACTCAGTAACCCTTTAAGACATCCGTAGCATCACCCCAAGGGATCGGCAAAATCTTCCAATGACTTCCGTCCAACACTTCGCCCTCCGGCACAGGACTGTCACGACCACAGCGACTGGGCGTGACGTTCCTGAAATGGTCGAACTGAAGATTCATCCTGACGCCAGGCTGGCCGTTTTCAGCCGCTAAGGACGGCCACGGGAATTTCACAAAGGGAGGAGCGGTCGGAAACAGAACAAACAGGGTGAAACAAACAAAGAAACCATGAACAAATGGAAACTGATGGATCTCCAACACACTCCAACATCACGGTGATGTTAAGAAGAGACACTTTTGTATACAGGAAGAAAACAAAAATCCAAGACTAAGACTGAATCTTTACAGCTTGGAGGGAGAGGACTTTCAGTGATTCACAGGCTACCTGGGGAACCCACAACCTAAAAATAAGTAGGTTACAAACTCAAAACCCGGTTCTGAGAAGCCTTCCAGCCAAAAACCCGGTTTCCTTGAAAAAAAACTCGGTTTTCTTCTCTTCCACCAGCCAGGTGATTGCCCAGCTTGATTTTGAGAGATTATGTTGCCGCTCTCAAGATTTTTTGGAGGTATGAACACTATAAAGAGCACCTCATATATAGCTGTTGAATGACGTTTGACAAAACATATACATCCGCGTAGCATAGACAGTCAAAGAAGACAAACAAGAGACAACATGCTTTCCGCACAACCTGTTACATGTATATCGTTTAGCCAACATATTAGTGTATCACCTGAAGAGATCGTGCTGAAGTGTGAAGTCACACTATATAGTCCGGAGCACAACCTGTGATCACCTGAGCCCACGCCTGAGTGGTCAGAACGGATCGAGACATTGGAAGATGTGAAGTGGATAATCTGCGGCAGTTCAATTTGAGATCTATATAAAGTGCACATGTTCTTCAGTTGTGTCCTTGCACTCAACATTTTTTATAGTGGAAGACAGTGCTTGGCTCAAATCTGTGGGAACTTTTTGTGCTCTTTTTCAGCAGCTGGCATGAGTACAGCTGTTCGGGATCGGGTGGAGGCCACAGGGATCAGCAAGGATTGGGATGGAAATGAGGCTCTTCGTTCATGCCTTCGAAACGATGGCAAACTTCGTGTAGGCAATGAGGTTATCAATGTGGCAACAACTGCTCAGAACGAGGCTCTTTTGACTCCCTTGCTCCACAGGATGAAAGAGTCTCCCACTCAAAAGCTCCCAGACGTGCACTCACTCAGGGACGAGATTACGAAAGTGTACGACATGAACAAACTTGAGGTGCAAGCAACGACCATCATTGCAGACGGCTGGTTCATTCGCAAACATCTTGCTCTGATCAAGCTGAAGATCAGACGTTGCGAGCCCTCAATAGATACTCGGTTACAAGAATTGAATAAAGACACAGCAATCATGTGACCACAACCTTTGTGAATCATTCCCTTCAGGTTTGCAAGTTCCCAATTCAATTAACAATTTGAGGACCGCACTTTCCAAAGAATGATCTTGGTGCTTGCTCCAGAACTTCAGGAGTGAATCGCTTAACCTGCTTTCTCCAATTGATCGCCATGTATATATATATATAAGTTTGGTTTTGCACTATATTTGTCCCTCCACATTTCCAGGACTTGGTCAAACAGATCAACGAAAAGGTCGAAGCCCGGAAGGCTTCTGCGTCATCACAGGCCTGGGCATATAGACTTGTATATATTTATATATAAGTTGACCGTTTGGGGTAAGTATCTTTTTGCATGGGGTGTAATTATACCGTGTCGATACATTTGTTGCAAAGAACTGGGCAGGCATTGGAAGACCTAGATGCTGATGAGGATGAGTATGACGTCAGGGCTGTTGATGATTATGGAGGAGAGTCTGACGTTGAAGACCTGCTTCAACCTCCGCCAAAAACTCCAGAACCTGCGCGTCCCCGTGCGGCTTCCCCTCCTCATCCTGGGAGTCAACCCATTTTTGTGCCAGAGCCCGCGCCTGTGCAGAATGGGCCTGCGGTGTCAGAGTCGGGTGACCCGAAGCCCTCTGAAAAGCAGACATCCACGGTTGTTTGCAGCCTGGTCGGCACGTGATGGCATATGCATCATGTGTGATGTTTTGTATAGCTTGCTGAATTTCTGTTGGTTTCGTGCTGTTTGCCTTGTTGGCAGTTGTTGTGAAAATCCAGGCAGCGAATCCGATGTGAAGACGAGGATTGCTGAAGCCCAACTACGTTTGCAGAAGACAAGACCTGAGGTTTTTGCGGTCTTTTTCAATTCATGACTTTTGGGATTTGCTTCTGTTAAATTTCCAGGAATTGTAAGTTTGTCTATATATATACCTGCCACCAAGGCTTCGCGAAAAACGATTGGCAATTGAGGCAAGTGCTTCAGGGAAGCCCTCAGTGCCTCAGAGAGAGCACCACATTCTGGACGATTTGGCCACCAAGTTGGGACTCGCCCCTGAGAGCGCAGGCACTGATCGTGATCGATGTTGAAGAACATCCGCATTGAACAGTATAACATGCCTGGGGTCATTCGAATAGTGGCATGATGTCTATATATCCAAATTGACTATATATAGTTCATCGTGTGCAGGCTCAATCCCTTCTGCAAAAGCTGTGGGTTCAAACGTGGAGACACAGCCGGTCGACATCATGGCAATTTCGCCACAGCTGGTGCCCACACCAGAGAGAACTTCTCCGGAAGTACCGGCTGACGTGAGGAGGCAGCAGTATCAGAACAAGCCTCTCGAGATTCAGGAGACCTCCGAATCTGGCACAGTTCCTGGATCTACTGGTCCTGTTCCACCTTTGGACAACAAGGTTCGGAATGGTGGATTTGTTTGCTTGTTGTTTTGTGTTCGACAGCAGCGTTGTAAGACAAACTTTGGTTTCTTGTGTGCTCTTCCCTCAGGAGGCCGATATCCGTGAAGAACCCATGGGCAGTGTCACCTTTGTCAGCCGCAATGACCAGCTTTGCTTCAAGAAGAATCGGAAGGACACACGCGGCAAGGGAAAGGGCAAGAAGGGAAAGAAGAAGGGAAAGAAGGGGCAGAGGAAACGTTCCAAGAAGGCTCCTTCTCCCATGAAGAGCCGCAAGAGGTCCGTGTTGAAGGCTTCCCGCAGTGCGTCCAAGAAGTCCCAGGGTGCTGAGGAAGTTGAACCGGGCGCCCGTGGCTCTTCAGGGAAGACTCGCAAAGCTCCCAAAGCCAAGGAAAGTGCCAAGCCCAAGAGGGCCAAGTCCAATGTCGCTGCAGAGTCCCCAGCAGACTCAAGAGCGAAGTCAAAGGGCAAAGGCATGCCCAAGGCCAAGGCCAAGGCCAAGGCCAAAGCCTTGGCCACAACCAAGGCCAAAGCCAAAGCAAAGGGCAGGGCATCAACTGGCCAGGCAGCTAACGCAAAGCGAAAGGCTGCACCACCGGCCAGGCCTTCCAATGGCACGGAGGGTGTTGATGCTGATATGGTCCAGCGGCTTGTTGACTACTACGACAACGTCAAGTTGGAGATGACCTCGCCTTGCACGCTTGAGTTCAAGTCCTTGGCCAAGCATCACTTGCAGAACTCTGTCCATATAAGGTACAACATCTACTGGCCCAGATGTTCATGTGGCCTGACTTCCCGAGCGCTCAAGAAGGATGTTGTGACCATTGCTTACAACTCGCCCGATGCTACCGCGAAGCAGAACCTTCTTGTGGCCACCAAGTCAGCAGAGCAACTTGTCCCTTGGCTTATTAATTGATATTGATCACCATGGTTGGTGCAATCAAATATGTACGTTTCTCGATCGTGGTATTTACTATAATAATTCGATGACTTTTTACTGGAGGCGTTGTGGTTTGATGAGCAGCTTCATGATGACACCTACGCTGACATTGGGGACTTTGTGGACACGTGCTATACCGAGATCATGGACAAGTCTGAGGAGATCAGGACTAGCGGTTGGGAGGCCTTGCGCATTCTCCAGTCCCGTTGAGTCGGTACATAGAAACATTTGTAGAGCACGGCCAGCGCTTTAGATGTTAGCGTGTCTTTGCTGTGCAAGATGTCAGGTAACAACACTCTTGTATGTACAAAAGACGCTTTGGTTGGGGGGACACGACGTGCAGCAGACATGTCTTTCATGGCTATGGCTGTGTGCAAAGACCTGGAATGTGTGGCAACCATGCTGTGGTTCAAAGCTTTGGTATATACTTGCCTCTCTATCGACAGATTGTTTTCACTGTGATGTCTACCCGTGTTTTTCAAGTCGTCTATATAGTTTGTAGTGTTGGACACTCCAGGGGTCAAAAGAACCACTTGAGAGCGCACTTCCAGCATTTGAGCACGGAGTTTCAACTACAAACTCTGTGATGGGGTATACCATTTTGTGTGGCTGGCGCAGGTGCACAATTGCTTCTTTGCATGTGCCTGTGCTATAGACAGAAAATCGAGCACTCTGCAAACTTCAAATATATGTGGGTGAATAAAAGACACACGGTCTGTGTTGAAGTTGAGAGCCCTTTGCTTGATAAACTTGCGATTTGATGATGGATCACCATTCCAAGGCCTTGAGTGATGGATGCCGCCCAAAGGCCGAAGCCTAAAGGGCAACCTTTGGAAGGTGCGTACTAGCATTCTGAAGTCCAAACAGCCCCGTCCAACTGACCTGTTTCCTACATTACGGACTTGGGTGACAAGCAAATTTTTTTCGAGATGTTTGGAGATGAAGATGTGATTTTTTTTTAAGGAGTCGAGCTTAAAATCAAACCTCTTGAAACATTCAGTCTGCAGCCATTTTGTTTACCTGATCGAGTATTTCTCGAAAGGTTTGGAGGGGTCAAAAGCTGGAGCTACCTGACCCATGGGCCACAGCATGGATGCACTCATGTGGCGGATGAGACAGCTTCAAATACCTAAGGCGCTGTCAGCGCAATTGAGTCTATATAAATATTGGTCCATGACATGCTTGAGGCAAGCATTGCGCACATTTATTATGTTACAGTCTTTGTGTAGGCATTTGCGGTCTTGGTGCTGTTGACCTCGTGGTGCGACTTCGATTTCCACCAGGCTGTCCTGCGGCATTTCATGTCGTGTTAGCCCACCAGGGATCAGGGATCATGCAGTGTCCAATGGGGCTCTCCACAACCATATGTGTCAAGCTCCTGAGATTGTACC